TTTGAAATTGCGGTGAATAGTCTTCATTTTTCCGATATTATTCATGGAATATAGAGCAGATGTATTCGTTAAATATCTTTTATGTAAAAATTGCAGAAATCACTTCGAACTAATTTTAAGGGGGGGGGTTCGGACCCCCAAATACGTCAATTCAAAGGTCATTCAATTTTGTAGTGAAATAAGCCAATTTCCCATAGATTTGCCTCCACATTATCTCAGTAAGGTCAAAATCAGTTCAACATTACGTTGGCAAGTCCCCTTTCGGTAAAAGTTAAAAAAAAACGAAATTTAAACGGTCAAATTTAATCACCTTAAATTTCGTTTTTTTAACTTTTACCGAAATTTGGGGACTTGCCAACGTAATGTTGAACTGATTTTGACCTTACTGAGATAATGTGGAGGCAAATCCAGGGGAAATTGGCTTATTTCGCGGGAAAATTGAATGACCTTTGAATTGACGTATTTGGGGGTCCGAGCCCCCCCTTAAAATTAAATCGAAGTGATTTCTGCAATTTTTACTTAAAAGCGGACACAATTTGGTACATTTTCCCGTTTTATTTTTTTCTTTACGATAATTTGAACCGGAGTTATGATTTTTTGAAAATAGGTCAAATTTGACCTTTGACCTATCATAACTCGGTCAAAAATTAAGATATTGATCTGCGGTTTGCGCCAAAATTATTAGTTTTTTATGCTCTTTCGAATGAGGTATCACAAGATAGGGGTTGCTATTTGAAAAAAAAAGTTGGGGGGCCCCCGTCCCTCCCTGAGAGGGGGACCAAAGTTTTGACCCCCCCCCCAAAAGATGATCCCCTTTGAAATAGGAACATTCCCAAAGTTTCATTTCCCTAGCTCAATTCGTTCAAAAGTTAGAGGGGGCGTCGAGGACTTTTCGCTCACCCTGTATGGATGGATTTCAGCTAATGGGAGAAAATGGTTCTGAAAAAAAGTTAAAAAGTGATTTGGCCATATCAAGCTATAAACTACTTTTCTGTTATCTTATGAGCTCCGTACTATAGGATTTAATTACGTGCATCGCAATATCCCTACGATTATTTTTCTTTACTAAGCCTGACAGTGACATGTCAGTTTGGTGACGTCACCAAAATGACATTTTGCTGTTATTAATTTTTTCTGCCAATTTACAGCAACAAAATCAAACGAATTATTGAGGTTACGTCGAGAGGCCACCTGTAGATGTAAGAAAAAATATTTGCTCATATATTCCTTGCATATTCCACCAAAAGTTTTGATGGAAAACAGCGTCACCAAACTGACATTGAGTAAGTGAGACACTCAAAAAACCGTGGAAAAAACTGAAATTATGCTGAAATTGGAAGAAATATGTGGACTTATCAAGTGCACGTCTGTTTGTTCTCCTTTTCCGCACTCAGTTATGCCTTAATCCGCACACAAGCGCAATCTCTTGAGTGGCCACAAACCAAAACGCATGGCGTCACCAAACTGACATAATATTGAGTTACACGCTTCAAGTCTCAAATTAAATTGAATAATATAGTTTTCTGGTGTTTCAATGCATATTATATCAAACAATATACATTCAAGACTTTAAAAAATTAGACAAAGCTCGCAAAAGGTGCTGGTTTATTTATATAACGATTTGATACATTGGTTACCTCCTAGTTACACGTCGCACAAAACTGACATTTTCACTATTTAGCACGTTGAAAAAAAGGTTTAGAGTTATTCAAATTTCCTGAGGAATTTTTTCGTGGTTGGTGTGACCTGCTTCTACGCAAAAAACCAAACATCGAGAGAAAATATTATAATTGAAAGTTTTGAGCGCAACCAGTTACACACGTCTTTCCCATATTTTCTCCCATTAGCTGAGATCCACCCATATATGACAGAAAATGAATGCCATATATATTCGTGATCTACGACTCGAGATCGGTGCTCTGTGCTCTTTACATGGTCCCAGGTCTATAGGTCCCACCATGAGTGAGAATGCAATAGTGTATTTTTCCTTCCGAAAATTCACTAAAACAAGACGTGAACTCCAACACAGTGTGTTGTTAAAGCGCATCGATTTATGCAGAAAGTTTACTTAAATCTATTAATTACAGTGTGTAAAGTTCATTGAAATTTATTGGTTTGAATTCACATCAGTTATGAGGCACGGAAAAACCCATACAAAATAATGCAATGCCAAACAGTTCAAAGTGATTAGTATAGCTAGAGTACGTATGTAAAATAGTAAATGTGTGCGAGTGAAATCAACTTGGGGTAAAATCGTTTGCCCCTCGATACAATGTATCGAGTGCGATAAAGCACACAAAAACATAGTCTAAAATATGAATATAATAATAGAAATAGATTAAAACATAGGTAAACAAGGCTTAAATATTAAAACACCAAGCCAACGATTAAGTGATAACGTCTGGGGTCAGGTCGCCACTCAATTTTTCATTTATTTTTTTCGTTTTTGCAGTTGAAAATGAACCGATATATGTAGATAATGGCTTGGTGAATTCTCTCATTTAAACGATGTACATTTTTATATTTTGTTACAGTTCGTTTGAACCTTCTACTGGGCACATTTTCATGTTTCTTGCAATTACATACACTGAAAAAAAAGTAGTTAGCGTTGAGAACTAATTTGGTTGGTTCTCGCCAAGTAGAATCAAAATTAGGCTTCAGAACTAATTTATTGTACTGAAGCACCAATCAATTCGCTTCATACGCTGACTTGACTTTACTAGAGCGCGAACCAGAATTGGAAAACAGCACTAGCTGTAAAATTAGCGCTGTGGTAAGACAAATTCACCTTCGGGTCAAACTAATTCGCCCTCAACACTAACTGCCACATTGTCCGTTACATTTATTTAGTTTCGAAAAAGTGGCGTCGGTACAACAGCCTCAATCGCGTCAGCTCGTGAAAATAAATTAAAATGTGAAATTTCGGGCTCGTTTGACAATGTAAATACTCCCGGTATGATTTATAGTGTCCTCTCTTTCTTGAAAACGTTCGAAAGCAACATAAATAAACCTGTTAAGGTTAGAAATCGTCTGTTCAATTCAAAACGTAAACAAGCATGATATTCGTTGGAGTCGTCAATCTTCTATATTAAATTGCGATTAAAGCGTTCCGCGTTCAGTTTATATTTTTACGAAAATCTGTGAACTTACTGCTTACTTCTATAGTTCGTGTTCTCCCGTAATTTCAAAAGAATATCTCAAGTGTTCGGACGCCGACATCGGTTGGTCCAGTGGTTAGCGCAACTGATCACAGACCTAGATGTCCCGGGTTCGAATCCCGGCCTCGGTGGCAAGATTTGATGGTCTCAGATCTTGTCACCGTGGAGTGGCATGGATGTTTCTCTTCGTTTCTTCCTTCGTTTCTTCCTTTGTACTTCTGTTTCTACTGTTGTTGTAATCTTCCCATCATTTAGCGGTGGCTGTTTGTCTACACGACTAAGGCCAATGAACTATACCTAGAGTGCGCAAGCTCTCAAAAAAAAAAAAACAAAAAAAAAAAAAGAGTGTTCGGACGAGATATGTTTATTCAGTGTGAACATTCGCTACCGTTTCATGTATGAGTGTGTGTCTCTCTAAAGGATAATTCTGTCTACTTGCACATACCTATGGGATATTCCTTTCCTCTGTCGTTCATTTGGAACCGGTCAGTTGATTTTAACCTCTCATCTTTTAAGAAATCTTCTTTTCCTGAAAGTATTGTCCAGTTATCATTCGCTAAGCCGTTTTCTCCTCTCTCAGTTTTGAGGTTAGGTTGACCCAACCCTACCGAATGCGAGTTAGAGTAGCGGAATTAGTTTCCAGCACTAATAGTGGTTAGTGTACAGAAACCAAAAATCATGTGTGTCCAAATCACACAATTTGAGTTAGTGTATAGAAACCATTTTTAGTCATCTGACGCTAACTCATTTTTTTCAGTGTACAGGTGACAGTCTCTATATGAGCCTGCTGTAATCAGATTTTGGAAACGGGGCCAGGTTTTTTAAATGAGAGTAGACCAGGGAGCTATGAAAGGGGGGCAAAATTTGAAATTCCCACAAAATAAAAATGGCGAGAATTTCAAATTTAGCGGAAAATCGAACTAAGCGGGGGATGTTGAATCTTTGTCTATTAGCGTATAAGGTAAGTTGTGAATCGAGGGTATGATTCCTTGCAAAATATCTTTGCGACCTATGCGACTATCCAAAAGCGACGAAACGCTCCGTTCCGTTCGTTCCGTTTCCTTCGATCTTGACGTGAAGTTTGAAATAAATGCCGATTAGTTTTATTCAATTCTTATTGGTCCAATCGCTCCCGGCCAGAGGGAGATTGGACAAATAAGAGTCGGGTATGAAAATCTTTTCATTTTTTTTGGTCGTTCTTTTGTCGAAGCGGGCCTAAGAGAGCGCGAGGCACCCTCTGGGGGTTGGGCCGCGAAGCGGCCAGGGGGCATACTCCCTAGTAGAAAACTAAACACGATGAGTCCGCGTTATTTTATTTCTCATTTTAAAAAACGAAAGACCGTGCCGGCCGATTTTAAATAAATTGACCATTTATGACCAACTGTGACAATCGAATGGTCGTGCGCTCCCATCAGACAGGCGCAGGCGGGTGGGGAATGCACCTCCTCCGGGGTGTTTTAAAACGCTCACGCTGAGTTGGATTAAAACAATTTTATACTCACTGAGGTGTTCCTCAGATGACTTTCATATCGACGGTGCAAGTCTGCAATCACATAACTCATTTGCGGTGTCTGAAAATCTCCGCAACTATGTTATTTTTTTAAAGGAGAACAAATGGACATTATTCCTTATAGTTTTTGCAGAATTTTACTCGCACATAGAAGAAAAATCACGGAAGTTTTAAAGAATTACCTTTGAGTAGTTTTCCGTTTAAATAATAAAGTATGACAGGAAGTCTGCGACGTCGCAAACCGAGTTATGTGATTGCCGACTTTCACCGTCGATATACCTTTGGATAGCAAAAATCGAAATGATGCGATTTCCATGTTATTCAAGGTATTATTCATTTTTTTTTTTTTTTTTTTTTTTTTATAACAAGTTAAGCAGGAGGATAAACATCGAAGTTGGCAACAAATCACAAAGACGGTATACTACGTAAACGCACCAACATGCTCGGTTTAAATGGATGATAAGCGCACTTAAACATGTGCTATCAATTTTCTTGAAATTTCTCGGGGGAGGCGGAGAGCCACCCCCGTGTGGGTGTTCAGAGGTCCCCGTTCTCTAAACCTATCCACCGGCGCATCATAATGTTAGTTAACACTAGTAAAATGTTCTATTCAAATCACAAGGACTTTGCATTGAATATTTCCCGATAGAATCGCTTCGAAAAAATTTCAAAGTGGCTAAAAAAATGAAAACGCGCCCGGTCCTTTTACAATAAAGAATAATTTTTTGAAGGTCCGGCATATTGATCTTGGTGGATCCCGATATTTATTTTTTCAGCCGTTGAATGGGAATAATGAGAGACTGGCTTTATATATTCTACGTCACATCGCGTCTCAATAAGTTCACTCCTACAAAATATGGTCCATCACCAAAAATTGAAAAAATCCGATACGTGAGGCATGCACCGACCGGGCGGCCTCTGGTATTAGACGAGATTATCTTTGATTCAATTAGTGATTTTTCTCAGTGTAGCAGCCATAACAAAAGTAGCAATAATCGCGATAAGTTGCGATTCGAACGATGAATTCATCGCAATTTTATCGACGTCAATTTATTGCAATACTATCCGATAAAAAACTCCGATTTCATCGCATACACTTTGCAATAAACGGCGATTTATCGCTGTATTACCGAACGAAAATCTCGATGAATTGAGATAAAGTATTGATTCTGTCAAACGCGCTTTCACAGAGATAAAATTGCGGCAAGGTAGAGATGATCCTAGCGAGTGCATCGCCCAAATCGTGAAAAATATCGCAATTAAGTTTGAAATACAGGAATTTTCCGTTTAAAAATGCTACTTACTTGGGGAGAAAGAAAGGTTAAAATCGCTCAACAATCGATTAAATCAAAAAGCGCCCCGTGAGCACAGTGACAGCCTTGCCGGAGATGTGGACCCGGTCACTCACGAACCGACACCTAAGTCGACCTCCGCGGGGTGATAGCTGGTGGGCAATGAGCTCCTCTTTCCGTAAGCGCTGGGCCCAGAACGGAATGAGGCTGCAGTGGGCAGAGCCGCACACGGCATCCTCGTTGAGACCGACAGCGGGCGCGAAATAGCGCGATACGAAGTCGACCTCTTCTCCGGCAGCGGTAACTATCACCCCTTGGTAAGGGAGGCCGGCCACGGCGTGAAGGTCTGGTGCGACCTCCCTCACCGACCTTTCCGAAACCAGCTGCACTAGGAGCTTGCAGTCTCCATCCTCTAGCACCTCTAGTGGCGGTGCCCCTAAGATCCGCTCCAGGTCTGGCACGACGACCGCTTTGGGGACCAGCGCCGGGAAGTCCAGAGTGAGGCGATCCGCCCCGCGACTCACTCGCAACGGTCCGGAGTGGCTGACGAACTCCAACTGATCGCCTTCGATCCCGTAGACAGTGAAGAGCACGTGGGCGGCAGCGAGGGTCCCATGACCGCAGATCTTCACCTCTTCACGAGGCACAAACCAGCGGATCCGCCAGGCGGTCCCTTCCCGCGCCACGAAGACGGTTACTGCTGGGTTGTACTCCTGGGCGATCTTCTGGAGGAGGTCGTCGGACGGCCAGATCTCTAGTCGATACACGGCGGCAGGGTTGCCGGTGAAGGGCCCGTCTGCAAAGGCGTCCACTTGGTGAAATTCTAGTAGCATTCTTGTGATAGTTGGGAAACAGGGGTGAGGATGCGGGTAATGACCCTATAGGCCAGTCACGCAGAAGAGGAATTGTCTGCAACAAACTGATCATTTGCCAAGATTGATAGAGCTGAAGCAAAAAGATACGGGTTTATATATGTAGACTCCAGCGGTTATTCCACTTCAAGTGATGAAAAAGGTGAGATATAGCTTAGATTACTACTGTTCTCCGTCTTGATGGTGCTTGATGAGTGACTTGTTTAGCATTCTATTAGCCTTGGGACAGTAGGGGCACCAAGGGCTGTTCAGAAATACATTTATTCTTTGCTTAAGATCGTAAGTCGATTGCGACATTTCAAAACTGGATCGGTCATCCTCAAAGAGATTCATGCGCCAGAAATGGGGGAAAAAAAATCAATGCAACAGTATTAAAAAGCGCGCCCATATTGGGGTTAAGCTGGGGCTGGGGGTAAATTGGACGTATTTCTACCAAACAGACCTATGTGGAGGTGAGAAATATGGGGTTTGCTCGTCAGTTCTCTGGCCGTGGCGAGTGAGTGAGAATAATAAAGCGCCAGTGACGTCATCGGAAATGGATGCCGTCGATGCTGCTCCTCGTGCTCCTCATAGTGCGCTTTAACTCATGAGCCCTGTCCACAACGCTCTCGTCCCATCCTCGCGGCTCATAAATCCCGCATTCAATTGGCACATAGGTCTGTTTGATAGAATGAAAAATCCCGCTTTTCCAATTCTTCAAAAGGAATCACGCCCACTTTTACATTGCTTCTTATGCAGCTTCGACGAGCACACCCCATATTTCTCACCTCCACATAGGTCTGTTAGGTAGAAATACGTCCAATTGGTTTTAAAAATGAACAGAAACAGAGGGCACAGCTCGATTACTTTACATGCTTCATTTTCATACCAAATGCAAATTTTTCAATAAATCAGCCTTTGGAATTTGTAAATCTAACCCCGTTGCATGCGGCGTACTGTTTTCTAATGAGAACAATTTAAGAGATACGAGGGAGTAAACACGTTTTGGACAAGTTCTTAAAATCCAGCGGCGCCTAGGCTAAAATTTTGAACCTATTTTATGTCTCATGGACACCACGACCTCAAACCGTAGGTAGAGTGATTATACTTACCAGAAGCTCCAACTGAGCCAGGGTCGTGACAACGCGTGAGATTATTATGTAAAAACAGTTCAAGTTTGATACCGTCTTCGAGACACGAATAGAAGAGAGAGAATCACAGCGCAGGAGGGCATTAGATGGCTAAAATTTCTGGACTGCATTTCATTTTAAAATTTCCACGCATACTTCTACTATCCGAAAGATCAGTATTAAGAAAGGAAAATTTTAATAAATGAGGATGTAATGAGTAAGAAAAATCAAAGAACAATCTATCCCACTGTATTGCTTATCTTTCTTCTGAAAAATACAATAAGCAAGGTCATGTTTTAAGACATTACGATTGAGACGAAATGTTTTGAAGTTTAATTGGTCGTGACAATAATTGTTCTATTATTGGCTTACCTCCTGATGACCAATTGTCTCAAAAGGCCATGCAGCTAGAAAATATTAATCCACCTAATGTAATGAAAATTCACGATTAAAACTAGGCGAGCGAGAGTGTAAAAAGAGGTACCTATTGAGATTGAAATTTTACGCGAAATTGTTCGGCCGTGGTTTAACTTTCCATTATTTTTCCACTATCAATTGTCATTCCCTTCTTCGATAACTAGTAGAGAATACAGACGTTTTATTAATATTTTTGCGGAAGCTTCGTATTTCTGTTCCTTAGTAGCAGAGCTTCTTAAAAATTGGATTATGAAATAAATATATAATTCGAAAGTTCCACACTAGTAACTTAATTAAAACATTGAAAACCAAATATTCGTAAATTTCAAGCACACTGACACAACTGCTATGACCAAATCTAATAATTCAATCGCCTAACGATTTCCCACGAGCAGTTGCGGGACTTGATATACGTGACTATCAAGGGTCGGAATAATCGCAATGGAGAATTTGTATGCTCATTTTTTATTGCCTCATCAAGTGCGTATTTTTTATAATTTTTCTCTGATATGGGAAATAGTATAAAAATAGATTTAAAAATGAGAAAATGCACCGCCTAGTGACGTCATCCGGCGGCATTTCCCATTTAAACATATGTATTTTAACAGATCAGATCATTTTGTCATATCTTCTCCAATAACTGTTCAATGGACCACTAGATAAGGTACGAATTTCAGCATTCTGATACATGTTTCTTAACCAAAATTTTTCGTAAAACACGATGCACACAACGAAAATTACCGAAATTAACTCCTTACGAAGATATTTAATGATTCTTGATGCGTGAATTCAAACCACCCGCTCATGAAAACTCAATGCTCTACGTGATTCACATCGCGCGCTAAACGTTATCATGACAGTCTCTACGATATAAAATCTGGCGACCTCAATCTTGACGCTTTGGCTCAGTTATAGCAAATTGCTAATAGTTTGAACAACACACGGTGGGAAATGAACATTGCTCGATTGAGAAGCTTGCTGAAACCATTGTAGTGCGCGATTTGATTCACGTAGAGCTTTGAGTTTCTTGTGAGCGGGCAATTCAAATTCCTCGTAACCAATGTGAAATAAAAACGTTAATATCTTCGTTAGGAATTGGTTTCAGTAATTTTCGTTGTGTGAATCGTTTTCTACGTGAAATTCTGGTTAAGAAACATGTATCAGATCGCTTAAATTCGTAACTTGTCTAGTGGTCCATTCATGAACCAAGGATTTCCTCGTGTTCAATGGGCCTGTTGCAAACTTTTGTTAGAGCAAAAATAAGAGTTGTTCCATGTCGATAATGTCTCAAAAATCACGATGAAAGCATATCGACGGTGAAACTACCAAACCACGTATCTCGTTTGCGGTGTTTAAAAATCTACGCTCGCATTTTATTTTTTTGAAGTCGACCAAATCAATAGCATTCTTTGAAATTTTCACAGAATTTTCTCCGCACAAAGAGGAAAAATCACAGAAATTTTCAAGACTAGACGTTAAGTAGTTTTTCATTTAAAAAATAAAGTACGACAGGAAGTCTGCGACGTCGTAAACCGAGATACGTGGTTTGGTAGCTTCACCGTCGATATGCAAACTCTGAAATGCACTCCTAACTTCATAATCTGCGTAAGAAATTTGCGTTTTTTAAGCTTCCCGCTTCAAAGAGGATACTACGGCACAGGTGAACATTTCGTTAGAGGAGTCATTCTATCTAATCCCTGTTCAACATGGCCGACGCTTCCGCGCGAAGGTTGAGGAGAGCAGGAGGTCAATCAAGGCGGATATCTATCAACGCGAGAAAAATGTGAATGTAAACACGCTGATTGTTATCAGGTGGTTAAAATCATCGTCCCGTCACATAATTTTTGGCAGATTGGCGTCGCCTATGTGGAGTATTGCGTAGTATTCTTGAGAGCAGGCGTTGGATGGAATGACTCCTCTAACGAAATGTTCACCTGTGCCGTGGTATCGTTTTTGAGGCGGGAAGCTCGAAAAGACGCTTTTTTATGAAAATTGTGAAGTAAGGAGTGCATTTCAGACTTTCATGATGCGCTCATCGTGATTTTTGAGACACATTCTATGAATGACAACTTTTATTTTCGCTCCAGCAAAAGTTTGCAACAGGCCCATATACGTATTTCTATCAGACGGAACGAAGCGCCATGCCATAGGGGGAGGAAGGGAAAGGGGGGCTTTGATTGGCGGGTGATGCGGAACGCGATGTTCGTTATGTCCTATACTTGCAATGCTTTTCCATGGCACTTAGTAGTTAGTTCCGTTTGACAGAACGCGCTATCCGGGATTCTAAAATCCACAAAAAGAACTCAATTTGGCGCTTAGTTCCGTTTAACAGAAATACGTCCAATTCACTCAGTGGTTTCCACTTAAACAAAAAATTCATCAAATTTCAGACACCTGCAAATCCTCCATTGGCGACCTACTGCGCCTAAAGTAAAATGTGTTTTCCTAAAAATATTTATTGGCCATGTACTTGGCAGTGGGCCATCCTCTAGCTTCGGGGTGCACAATCTTGTTGTCTATCCGATACGTGCCGAGATCGAGCTCCGAGAGCGTGCGGAAACCTGCTTTGGCGGCCGCCTTATGGGAGTAGGGACCACTGAAGACGCCCGCGGTGACCGGGATGTTGGTGAGCCGGCAGACTTCCGCACGCGCCCTTAAGAATTCTGTCGCGATGCCCCGACCCCGGAAGGCGCTCGCCACCGAAATGCCGAAGGCACTGATGCAGTCGGAGCAGTTGTAAATCTTGAGCACGTCTACTCCTTTCTTTAGGTCGACCAATGTTTGGTGGCATAGTTTCATTTTATCCGTCCGGTATTCCATCTGGAAGTTTGAAAATTTATTGGAGTCATTAATCACCACGGGGGAAAGGACCTAACTACAGTGGAAAAGTCAGAATACAGGGTGTCGGGTGTGTGTCCGTAAAGTCCCTTCCCCCTCTAACTTTTGACCTATAACTGAGAAAAAGATCTGAAACGTGGGGGATGAGGTCAAAGGGTACCTTTAGGTTCGCCCAAAAATTGTATGGGGGGCCCCTTGGGGAGGAGGGTGAGGGGGTTACCGGACCTCAACTTCTTTTTCAAATGGGACTATCCCCTTTGTGATACCTCGTTCAAAACAGCATGGAAAAAGAAAATTTTCTCGCGCAAACCCAAGGTCATTACCTCAAACCGTTTCAAAATGGCGGCCAATTAAAGTTCAAAATGGCCGGAATTGGCAACTTGGTTTTTTGCCGATGGATTTTCCTGAAACATGGAATATGATGGTAAGGCACGAATACAGAGAATTTGACGGACGATTTGAAAAAAACGGAGTTCACCCATTTTCGGCCAATTTGAAACAGTTTAAGATAATGACTTCGGGTTTACGCGAAAAATTATCCTTTTTTACGTTCTTTCGAACGAGGTATCACAAAGGGGGATTGCCACGAGACGAACCGAATGGCATAGAGATAAATTCGATTCCGCAATTGAATTTTGATTTTGTGAGGAACGTTTGATTGCCTTAACTATTCACTGACGAAGGCGATGAATCTTCCGGCAGTTCGCACGTTCACCGGTTTTAATTTAACTGGACATCCTAAATTGGTCATAGCAAAATCAACGGGTTGATTTATAATAGGGTTGGTGCGAGGGCGTGAGTCCGGATTCCGTCCCGAAGACTCCGAATTGCATCTGGCGGGACTCTCCGAACTGCGTCCCAGATCGCGTACATTCAATTCTTAAGAAAAAGGTGTAAATGACAACGTTGCTCACCTTTTTCTCATGTTGATACCAATGTCCGGAAAGTAGAATAAAATAAATAGGAATATAGCGGTGAATGATAGGGTTCGGTTGACATAAAGTTCCCATATTACAAAAACCGTTTGGCGAATGGAGATCAAGACAGTCTCGTCATAAACTTTAAAACAAATAATCCAGGGTGTAAAGGATCCTTTCGTCACGGTAGTTTCACTTAAGAAACTACTTTCTTACTGGCAAAAAATATCTGCTGCTTGCTGCTTTTTTTTCACAGAGTTGCTGACTTTTTGTCTCGTCAAAACGTTATCGTCAAGTTTTTTGGTGATTGTTTCATATTAGATTCAATAATTTCGCCATCGATACTAACTTTTAAAAAACACCGGGAATTCTTCACTGAACATGCCCGATCACGGTGCTCCTGAAAGGGGTTTTGATCGAAGTTGGTCCTGACATAAAAATTAGAGCTGGAATGTCAAGAGGAGCACTACCAGATACTAAAAACCACAATTTCGAAATAGGTTGTTGGAGCTCCTGGAGAAATAATCGCGATTTTATGGTTTTTTTAGGCTTTTTTCGGAAAATAGGCTCATGTAAGGCAACTAAATTCTTCCCCTGCCCCATTTCTTCTTGGATTGATCTGAATTTTTAGTACGTTATTCTCTGGTATAAAGTACGACTCTCCTGAAATTTTCATGACCGAGAAATTTTTTTTGCTCCCGTTACAGCGTTGCAAAGTTTCAAACTTCAAAATTATGGATTTTGCAAAAAAAATTGTGACACTGGCCCTCTGCTTCTTGGATCGGTCTGAATTTTTTGTATGTTACTCTCCGATATGAGGTTAAAATTTCCTGAAATTTTCATTGCCGGAAAATATTTTGTCCTCTCGTTGCAACGTTGCCAAGTTTTCAACTTGAAAATTGTAAGTTTGGAGGTAACACGATGACATGGGCCCATGTCTGAATGAATTGATCTGAATTTTTAGTATGTTATTCTCTCATATAAGTAGCAAAATCCCTGAAATTTTCATGACAGAAAATTTTTTTTTACTCCCGTTTCGACGTTACCAAGTTTCGAACTTCAAAATTACATTGATTTGACCATAAAATGATGGCGTTTGGGCGGGGACACCTTGCAGAATTTTCTTTATTTATGAGTAATCTTACGAAATGCTTCACTGATTTGTCCCTTCAAAACTGTAAAGTTGCCTTGTTGCCGTTTTACTAATTTTATTCCGGATGAATGTACCTACACTGCATCTTGCTGAAACAGCAAATGCTGTTTTTTTGTTTTTTGTTTGTTGGTTTTTCGAGTGCATATGCATTTAGTGTATCATATTATATTTGAATGGACGCTGCTAAATCGAATGAAAAATCAACAAACAAAAAACAAAAAAACAGCATTTGCTGTTTCAGCAAGATGCAGAGTAGGTACATTCATCCGGAATAAAATTAGTAAAACGGCAACAAGGCAACTTTACAGTTTTGAAGGGACAAATCAGTGAAGCATTTCGTAAGATTACTCATAAATAAAGAAAATTCTGCAAGGTGTCCCGCCCAAACGCCATCATTTTATGGTCAAATCCATGTAATTTTGAAGTTCGAAACTTGGTAACGTCGAAACGGGAGTCAAAAAAAATTTTCTGTCATGAAAATTTCAGGGATTTTGCTACTAATATGAGAGAATAACATACTAAAAATTCAGATCAATCCAAGAAGAAATGGGGCAGGGGAAGAATTTAGTTGCCTTACATGAGCCTATTTTCCGAAAAAAGCCTAAAAAAACCATAAAATCGCGATTATTTCTCCAGGAGCTCCAACAACCTATTTCGAAATTGTGGTTTTTAGTATCTGGTAGTGCTCCTCTTGACATTCCAGCTCAAATTTTTATGTCAGGACCAACTTCGATCAAAACCTCTTTCAGGAGCACCGTGCGATCATTATCGATTGACATCGCCTTTCAAATGCGGTGTTGCCACCTTCCCGATTTATGCGCCGGGCGCAATGCGGATTGAGCTCGGGACGCAATTCGGAATGGCCAGGGACGCAATTCGGATACAGCCGGTGCGAGGTTACATAGTATTATTATTACTTAAATCATTAAGTTCTAAACGTACATACCTCTGACGTACTCTCTTTATACAAAACATTACACCCGATCAAAGGTCCACAATTTCCCGAGTCATCCTCAAGCAGAGCTGCTAAGGAGATTCCCTCGGACAAGTGTTTTCTTAATACACTCTTTATTTCGTCACATGCATCTTTGTCTGACAAGAAACCTGTGCAAGATTGGGATACAAATCATATACCATAGTTTAACAAGCGGGAAAGCTCTAATACGTGGGTATTAGAGAAGCGCTCAGCGGTGAGCGCAATTTTAATGAGTCCCAGATTTAATTTACTACCTATTAACTGAGAATGTTAAAATTTGTAATAATTAAAACATCTAAAATTGTGCTTCCTCCTCCCCCCCCCCCC